CTCGCGCGCATGGCCCTAGCAAAACTCCTGTACTACACTCCCCTATTCCCTACTTATAAAGGATTATGTCGGAAGTATTTCCCTGACAGAATCTTTCTTTGAAGCATTACCCATACTGAAAGGAGCCTTCCTGGAGGCGGACAAGGCAGATGAGCTTTGCGCTTTAGGGTTTAGGGCTCAGGGTTTGGGGTTTAGGGTGTAGGGTTTGGGGCTTAGGGTTTAGGGTTAAGGGTTTAGGGCTTAGCGTTTGGGGTTTAGTTGATCAGCAGCAATGTAGAAAATAAAAGCTGTTTCAGTATTGGGGAGGGGCTATAGTCATCCACACAATTGGCTTTCTTCGATTTTGGGTCTTCTTCGACTTGAAGAGGATGTGGCCAAAAGTGCTACATCAGGGGCCTTGGCTCGCCCTCCAGTGCTCATGGGCTTACAGCCCTGGACTCCAAAAAATCGAAACGTTGAAGTCGAACCCCTGTAATCGAACATGACTCGTAAGACAGTGTAACTTCCTGGTGGGTAGTTGGGGAAAAGGGAGAATAATTCCTACAAAGTCTCTGTATACAACATGTTCCCTTGTTTCCTACTAGAACCCCAATACATACCCTATCATTATCATGATGTAGTAGTTTACATTTTCGTTTCTATTCTCCCTATATAACCCCAATACATTCCCTTGTTCCCTGTTACATGAGGACGGAGACCCACACTTTTTGACAAGGAAAGGATGGGTCAGACGTCTCCGGGGCCGAGCTGAAGCCTTGAACATCCCTACGCCTACTGCGGGTTGGTAGGGAGTAAGGGGACGTATTACATAGGGCCCCCCACCCTGTAAGAGTGGTAAAATAGGAATATAATAGGACTCTGATATACTCCTTATTATCCCTTTTAGTCACTATTACAGGGTGGGCAGTCCACCTGATAGGGGTCATATAGGGATTAGATTCCTTCATTCCCTACTCACCACCAGGAAGTAAACCCTGAAAATCTTTAAGCCTGATGTTGCAGGCCTTTCCATCTTAGGGCATGATGTCATGGAGGAGCGGAGTACGGTGAAATCAACATCATTTTGAGAATCTTTTGGGAATCCAGTTGGGACTGTATGTGGGACTTTTTGGGGATGTACTGCGCAGGGGCAGGTGTCATAGAGAAGGATGACGTGGAGATTTCATGGGTTGACCAAGGGGTCTCTGTTTTGGGGCTCTTTCAGAATTCATGAGTTTTTGGATCATGTCGGAGGACGTCATCTTTATCCAGATCCCATTTCCCCGTCATTTCAGGCTTGGATTCCGTTTGTATGGGCCCCTCACTATGCTAGCGCCTCCCCAAGGAGGCAGAAGTTTGAGCTTTGTAACCCTAAACTGTAAACATTTCTCTACATGACCTATCTTTCGAAGAACAGCAGACTGGCAAGAGCCAAGCCTCACACATGGGAAGTGTTGATGGGCTAGGCGATTGTTTCCAAACTTGGGGGTAAAAGATGCCTTTCAGGTTGGCAAGATGCCCATTTGCATCGTGCTGAGCTGTGTAATTCTTGTGGAATCCCGAGCAACCTGGTAGAGTCCTGAAACTTGCTACGAAAATCACCAGGAGTCTCCAACGGGGGCTTCTTGGGGACTCCTTTCAGAAGCATCCCCGTGTTCTCAGGGTATGTACAAGGAACCTAATTTCGAGTCAACCACCTGAGCTACTACTTCCTTCAGGTTTCTCTCACAAGACCGGTGGACATTGCGCTTACGCCTTCCGCAATCCCCAAACAGATCCCTAAACCCCAGATTCTGAACGCACTAGTAACCCCTTCAATTGTTGATGGAGGAAATCTTGCA